ACTGTTGGATGAATGTTGACCTATGATGAACCGAAGGTCTACCCCCGCAGACTCAAATGGAACCTGAGAATTGACCCTTGGCTTCGACCCTTTTCCTCTACAACCCAGTGGTTTTGAGGTTCCACGTCTACCTATGCAGGGGAGTAGAGGCGCAAAGCCTCACAGATCTTGTCCAACACAGACTTGAACTTCTCCATCTTGCGGCTGTGTGTACATGTCTCAAAGATTCGGCGCTTTTGGCGCACCACAGGGATGCATGCAGAGAGTACTGCAGACAGAGTTTCTTCGGATTCTTAAGAAAGACTCCTCCTGTGATCACGTATTGCGGGGGTTCAAGAGCCCAAACTTTGGTGGTGGTTGAGTACTACTCCTTGCCAGGCTTGCTATGATGAGGTTCACCCCTTTTGTTGCAAGGAATGGAGGGGGCGAAGAACAGTTGCTTTGGGTGGAGAGTTTGTTCACTATAGACTACAGCCTATAGCGCAGAAGCTCCAGCATGCATCCTGATTATTTGCTGTAGGCACTAATGATTTGTCCTCAAGTGGTACGAATATGTTGGAGCCGTTGTTGCTGCCTTCGTGTCTTTTTGCTCTCATTCTGGGCTCTGACCTATCGGCAACTTCTCAGCCTAGAAGAGTATCCACGGTTTTCACCTGTGCGAACTCTGGGCTTTGCGAGGGCACAGCAGAGGGAGGCTCATGGGACTGAAGGACTGAGGGCTCCGTTTTCGCTGCGGCTCATACGCTCATACGGATCTCCCTCTGTGTTGTCTGTGTCCTCTCAAAAGTCCGCTGATGCCTTCCGAGAAAGAGCCCCTCGTGTGGATTTTAAGCGACACCGGCCTCCCCATGCGTCCAGCTGCGGCGTCAGAGACGGACACACCATGCGCACTTCGAAGGTCTGAGACTCCAGAAAGCGAGAGCTGGACAGCCGGACTGCATGGATCTTTGGGGTTTGGTCCTTTTTGGGAGATGAGACATGAGTGCGTATTCGAGACCATGGGAGACCTGGACCAGGCCAACCCCCCCGGAAGCCTACCCAGGGCTTGCCAGGGCTTGCAAATAGGGGGTCTCAGTTCATGGCCCCTGAGACAAGGAGACAAGTGCATCGCTACTAGTAACAAGTGCATTACTAGTAGCAAGAAGCTACGAACGGAGCAAAGGACGCTACTAGTAGTAATGCACTTGTTACGAACGTAGCGATGCACTTGTGAAAGAACGAAAAAAGACTTCTGATGGTTTCTGTCTGGGCCGTTCGCGTTTTGGGGCGGTCGGCCGCCGGGCCAAGTTCTGAAGAGGCTGGTTGCTGAGATCAGATGAGATAGCTGCGATCAATTTGGAGAACATGGGTCAGCTGTTTGCAAGCCGCAAGCCACATAGTTTTCATGGCCATACCGCATTTGCGGACCCGGTGGTCACAGGTATTTCTTGCATTCAGATGCACACTGGCGATCTAGGCTAAGCCTTCAGACTGCCCCGCTGGGTGGAGGCTGTTGGAGGTCGATCGAGGCCAATTCGGACCCACGGGCAAGACGGCCAATCCGATTGAGCCTTAATCGACCCCATCCGAGACGAGTTGATGGATCACAACACGCCTTTGACCTAGGCGACTTCCTTTCACCGTTTGGAAGACGCCCGGTGCTTCACATGTGAGTTGGGTGGACTAAATAAGAAGAGGAGCAGCTGCAAGGAATTGCAGCTCGAGGTGCCTGGCCATAAACCATAAACAAGGCATGCCCTTCGATCTCTGCAAGTAGGTAATTCTTTGTCTCTGCTCTTCCCTTGTTTGCCTTTCCTTGATCCATGCGCCCTTGGTCTCCCTGCATCATCTCCCAGCATCTGGTTAGTTTAATCTCACTGTTTGTTGTGTTCCAACGGTTTCTTCTTCCATGTGCAATTCTTTGGCTCCCAACACTTTTGCCGTGCTGTCCGTTCGTTTGTCCATGTCGATCTCAATTTCACAATCAACAAGCCAGCCAGCCCCAAACTGCATGTGTTTTGCTCGGGGCATTCCCTGACATCATCATATTCAGCATGGAGACCAGGAGAAAATACGGGTCATTGATGTTGCAGGTGAACTGCGAGATGAGCAAACATCTAGAGCTCTGCAAAAGATGGGGTCCAGGAATTTGCGAGATCCTTCTGTCACTTTGTTGTGAACTCTTATTTCAATGTGCTTTGAAGCTTTGAAGCATTTTTCTGGAAGGGTGACGAGCCTACGGGCTTTCAACAAGATCTGGAACAAGACTGTTGAACATCCTGAAACAGCCCCTAGTAGCTTCTTGTTCCTAGTAGCGATGCCAGGAGCCCCTAGTAGCTTCCTTGCTCCTAGTAGTACGGCCAGGAGCCCCGATCGTAGCTTCCTTGCTCC